CAGCAAGCTGGGTAGACGGTGTTTCAGGGAAAGGTGCACTGGCTCAGGAAGAGATAAAATATCAGTCTGTCACACTGTCTAAAGTGGCTCACAACTGTGAGTGCCAATCTCAGGTCAGAGGGTTAGAAAACAGGACAGACACCCCAAACTGGTGGTATATTCTATTAGCAGATTTCACCAAGCCGGTAACAAAGGTGCACTCCTGGATCACTATACCGGTCTTACCACGGAGTCACAGACAGTCCCCTTAGGCACTCCAACCTATCCTGACACCCAGACAAACTGGCCTTAGTGATAATGGTCACATAAACTGAAAAATCACATAAGAACGGCCATACTGGATCAGACCAAAGGTCCATCTAGCCCAGTATCCTGTCTTCCGACAGTGGTCAATAACAAATCAGTCACTTACCCAGATCAATTGGTACTTTGTATCTCAGACCAAAGATAACGCTGGCAGCCAATTCTCTAGTAAATTAACTAAATATTTATTGGCTAAGAAAAAGAAATGAGAGGGTTAGAGGTTAAAGCAGGTAAAATACTTTACCAGGTGAGTCTAAGTTTGTAAGTCTATTATATCAACTGCTATCATTTAAACTCCCAGTTTCCCAAAAATCTTTTCAGGGAACCCAGCTGTTTCAGGGGATCTCCACTTTGCATTTGGTATCTTCCCTGTAAGAGTCCAAATAGAGATGAAAGAGCATTTCTTTGAATCAGTATTTATATCTTATTTCCACAGATAACACTCTTACACGTGTTTTTACTCACTATCTGGCTCCTTGCTTTGAAATTAGCATTTCCTGGTACAGCCATTAAGTCCTTCATTAATATTTCACAAGATTTCTTTGAGGAGTAATTTTAGGTACAGAATTATACATAAATGCAAATGTTTTTAATAGCAAACAACAATCCTTCATTAGTTTTCATGATGTTTATACATCAAATACCTTCTGATGTTCACTAACACACACTTTTATCTAATTACAGGATATACCTAGTGTAATTGTAATATGATAGCAAACAACAGGATATAGATAGGCGAAAACAATACAATTAACATCTCCTTTTATCTCAATTAACACGAGTGAATTAGTCTATGCATATTATTACACTTAACATTTCTTTGATATTCATACACAAGTGACTTGCCCTATGGCTTTGGCTTGAGCTGGCCTGTCAGTGCCACAATGTCCTAAACCAAATCTTGGTGAAACTATACATGAAAAACAGTTCAAGCTAGTCAAGAACATTTGCAAGTACAGACTCTATAGAACAGACATGAAGTCCTTTCTGGGTTTGGTAGCGTGGCCCTGGCAATTCTTTAGCACAGTTCTCCACTGTGCTAGCTTTTAGTCAAGTCATACTGTGGAGACAAAGAGCTAACAAAATGGAAACCATCCAACCCTAAAGAGAAGTCTGTGCAAACATTCTGTGTTACAGAGTCCTGATTTTCTCTGCAGAATTAGTTATTCAGGTAGCTGCTTTAGGAAAAGGCCTAGGAGCAGGTTTGTTACAAGAGAGAAATTGGTTATCAGAAGAACAGTTGGCTGGTTGAATGAAGATTATCTGAGCCATGCTGACTCACTCTCTGCTAAGGGAGAGCATCATAACAAACAATATCACTTTTCTGTCAGTCTTCAGTATGTCAGAGGAAGAAGAGACTTCTGGCTAAGGCACAATACTTGGAAGAAAGATAGGTTCCATTCCTGACTCTGCCACAGTATCTCTCTCTCTCTAGCCTTTGACAAGTTGTTAGGATTCCCTCCAAAATCTTTTCCACTTGGCTTACCCAGAACACCTCATCCAGTTCTGGGAGAATGCTCCATCCAGTTCTCTGGGATCCAAACACTCAGCTCGACTCCAGATCATCACTAAGGTTACTTTATTAGGCATGTAACAGCTCTATTCCCTTGCTGAGCAGGGTTAGGTACAGGGTGATGCCACAATTCCAAATTAGACCCCACACTACACAGTTTATATATGTTTTTCCTAGCTACTAACATCTATACTTTTTTAATCTAATTGGTTTGGACATCATATGGATCATGTAAGGACCAATCGCTTTGCACATCATGTAAGGACCAATAACTTATGTTTTTACCTTATCTACATTTCATGTGTATCAATTCACACAGTTCCCATTTATCTCAATTAGCCTGAAAATCTCCAGCACACAGCCTGTCACACCCTTATTTACAATCTTGCACTCAAATCAAGCTATATGCAAGTTTACTCATGCCCAGCAAGATCTATGTCTACACAAGTCAATCTCTCCGTGCTTCATTTGCACAGTCTGTACAATGGAGGATAGTACTTCCCTATTTCACAGAAGTTTGGCTAAAATAGTTTGGTTTTGAAGCACTAAGATCCTTAAACAGAAGGTGAGAAACATCTTGAGACTACAGAAAAAAGGTGTGTTATGTATTTTTAAGTGTTATGATCTTTACCTTGTATGCTTTTACACAAGTGTGAAAAATGTTGTTTGCTCAGTAAGAACCACTGATCTTAAAGTTAGGCCATCTAACATCACAGGTCAGAAAGAAAGCAAAATTCCTGCCAAAAGAAGTTGATTTCCTGAGACACAAGAGGTTATGGGCCAAAAGGCCCAGCGATCCAGCATATCCACTATGTCTGTCTGACTAAGGCTAGGTCTACACTGGTGGGGGGGGGAGGGGGGAAATCGATTTAAGATACGCAAATTCAGCTACGCGAATAACGTAGCTGAATTCGACGTATCTGAGCCGACTTACCCCGCTGTGAGGACGGCGGCAAATCGACCGCCGCGGCTCCCCCGTTGACTGCGCTTACTCCTACCTGCGCTGGTGGAGTATGCACGTTGATTCGGGGATCGATTGTCGCGTCCCGACGAGATGCGATAATTCGATCCCCGAGAGATCGATTTCTACCCGCCGATCCAGGCGGGTAGTGAAGACAAGCCCCAAGAGTGCCCTAGGGAGAATGACTACCTACTACTGACCTAGCTTAAAAATGCTACTATAGCTTTAAGCCTCCTAATTTCCCCCACCAGCACATGATTCTGAAGCAGCTTGGAGAATTTAAAAATAAAACCACACACCCCACACCTCTGACTTATTGTGTGTCCTGCAAATGTCTAAAGAAAATGTAATTCTTGTTCCTTGTGTTGGGATAAAGAGGTTTAATATTTAGCAAGCATATTCGTACAGAGGCAGGGCATGCTTTATAAATGTCACTGAAAAACCATGCATCACTGCACATTTTTAAGCCCCCAGATCCTACACAAACAAACTGATGCTGATGCACTCTCATCCATGTACAGTACTAGAAGTTACAGGTTTGTTTGTTTTTGAACTAGCAGCAAGACTGTGTTGCAAGGATCAGTTTTAAACCATGATGGTGTAGGTGGATCAAAATCCAGAGGATCAGAGTCTACAGTTAAAAATATGCTACAACTTCTAGGTAAATTCTGATTTTTCACCAACTTGACAGAGTCCATGTTATTTTCGGAAGGGTACAATGAGGGGAGAGGGAAACCAAGAAAAAACTCTCGTCTACAGTTTCAAACCTATGTGTTTAATGCCCAGGTGTGCAGTTGTTACAAATATGTCATCTCAATTCCCTCCAGTGACAATTTGGTCTCATTATTACACATGCAATTAAGATGAAAGGTTTCCAGCTTCCAGAGCACATAGGTAAAATCCTCCCCACCTTGCAGTTTGTTTACTGCCAGCATGACAGGCGATCACATCCCATAAAGCCAAATGCTCATCTCATTAGCACACGTGGAGAGAGTCACACACCTCTGATCTTAATTTAAACAAAAACAGAGCCTAAAGTGCCCGCAATGAATGGAAACCATCAGCAATGAGTTGCTTTATGATGAGATGGCACCAGGATTCAATCTTTGTGCAACAGGCACGGTGCTGCATGGTCAAATAGAACAATGCCATGTACTGGGCAAGTGCATCTTTCCACCATCCACTTCATAATAAAATAAACAACAATCAAACTTGAGTGCTTCAGCATGCTGTGCAATTGAAGCATTAGCTAACTGATCATCTAGGTACTTTATAGTTTTAGGAGACCCTTCTCTATAAGCATCTCCATGCCAGTGATGGCGTACCCTCTAACTAAAAAGACAGACATAGAAACAGAGCACCTGGTCACATGACACAGTCATAGTTCACACTTCTATGGCACTCTACAAACATTAAAAACATAAGAACCACCACACTGGGTCAGACCAGTGGTCCATCTAGCCCAGTATCCTGTCTACTGACAGTGGCCAATACCAGATGCTTCAAAGGGAATGAACAGAACAGGGCAATCGTCAAGTGACCCATCCCAGATGCAGGGAATGGATGGGTGGAACACCCAGAGAATGGGGTAGCAACCCTCACCATCTTAGCTAATAGCCATTGATGGACCTATCCTCCATGAACTTACCTAATTCTTTTTTGAATCCAGTTATAGTTTTTGCCTTCAGAACATCCAAGTTCCACAGGTTGACTGTGCACTGACAAATCTTAACAGCACCACCCTCTGTCCACCTCTATGAAGAAGGTAGCAGTCAGTATTGTTGCTCATATTTTATGGCTAGGACAAGCGAGACAGAGAGATGAAGTGATGGGTATGAAGCCACAGAGGCCGAATTAGCAAATAGCACCTCCTGCTCCCTCCACACTGCCCCCTCTGATTTCTGACCCCGCGCTGACACTGACTCGCTACCTGAATCTGGCTATGTCACGGCTCGCAGAGACCTGACTGACCCTCAGCTACCTACAACCAGGGCAGCAGGAGGGACCCCCACGTATAGCCACCAAACCGCACTCAGGAGACACCGGGGGCTACAGGGAGCGGAGCCAGAGGTCCCAGCCAGCGCGCAGGAATACCGCAGTTAGATGGCACACAGCCCGAGGCGCGGCCAGCAAGGCAGGCAGCTCCCTGGCCAGTGCCTGTGACTTGGAGACACCTCCCCATTACCCCAGCCGCGCCCCATTGGACCAGGGAAGCACACGCACCACGAGTCCGATCCCCGTGTCTACGTACGGCGAGTGGGAACGATCCAGGCCACGTTGAGCCGCTGCCAGCCCGGCTGGGCTCCACTAGCGAGGCCCCCGCCGGCCCCTCTCCGGTACCCAACTCGGCGTGGGGCTGCAGCAGTTTGAAAGCTCCTGCGCTCTTTGTTTGGCCGGGGGAGAGCCAGCAAAGGCTGCTGGGAAGGTCCCCGGAGAGGGTTGTACTGCGAGGGGAGGAGCGCAGCTTTAACGCTTTCAGGGACAGCGCCTCTCCAGGGCTCTTCCACCGTTCCCACGCCAGAAACGCGGGGCTCGTCAGACTGGCTCGGTCCCGAAGGCTCGCTAACCCAGCCGCTGGCCTGTCGCCAGTGCCACATGCAGCAGAGGGAGGTGCAAGAAGCCCTTCAGTGGGCAGCTCTGAGGCAATCTGCCTTCCCCCACCCCCATCCTGGTCGCTCATAGCGAGAGATGGGCGTAAAGCGCACCCACCCACCAGCACACCTTTCCTTCTGCAGCGCCTGGGGCTTGCTGTCTAATTTGGGTGTAAGTGCTGGGGCGCAGGGCAGGCAATGATACCTTTTCCTTACACAACACCTTCCACCACCTGATGATCTCAGAGCACAGCACTTCACAAGCACCAGCCAGTTCTGACAGCATGCTATTATTACCCCGTTTTGCAGATGGGGAAGCTGAGACCTTAAGCATCGTGCTCCAGGTCATAAAGTGAGTCAGTGACAGAGGACTAGAACCTTGGAGCCCTGACTACCAGTTTCCCCACCCCACTTTCTTCCAACCTCTAGACAACATTGCTTACCATTGGTTCTGCTAAAGACAGCATTCCCTCATCAGTGGACACAGGACCCTACACCATCAAGAACATAGCTACAAAAGTAAAATATATAATACACACACTAATTGATGCCACTGTGCCCATGGTATCTCCCATGGCACCCAATCTGATCATTAACAGAGTAGCTGCAGTTAGCTATAGATGTAGCAGTTAATTATTGCTAATTATTACTACTATTTTATTTATTATTACTATAGGACCATAGAAGTGCATGCCACTGCACAGAACAAATCAAAAGCCATTCCCCATCCTGAAGAGCTTACAATCTAGGGCCCCAATCCTAAAAAGCTTCACACTCTTAACTTTACAAAGGAATTCTCAAATGCTTAAAGTTAAGCATGACAAGCAAGTCTTTGCACAATCAGGGCCTCCTGTCAAGAGGAGAACATGAGGAGGAGCTGACAACATTGCAGGGGTGAGTGGTGGGGAAGCACAAGGGAAAGGATAAGATGAATATTCAGTCACATGGGAAGCTAAATGTGTCTATAGTGGACAGAGAAGTGGATTTGGACAAGGGGCTTAAAAGAAGAGAGTTAATAAAAGACCTGATCAGAATCACAGATGCCATAAGAAATGTTGCCCGAGGAAAGTAGGATCTGTGTACTATGACTTGCACCTGCAGACACCCATGCTACACAATGCAAAATTGTTCAAGGCCTCTCCACTGTCTTGTATTGTCATTTACGTCTATGCAAAGTGAGTGTACAACACTGCCAGTTCGGATTGGTAGTGTTTCATACTCACTTGGCATGTCCAAATGGCAGCACAAAGTGCAAAGCAGTGGAGAATCACACCTGCTATGTCCTTGGATGGGAAGGCAATGCTGCAGTGGAGAAAAGAGAAAGGATGCCAAACTCACCAGAGAGGCTGATCTTCTGATACTCTTGAGGCATAGCAAAAGATAACTTTGATGGGCCTATCCCTAGAAAAGGGGAGGGAATGTTTCATCTGGCGACACTAACGTTTTATGTAAAGATGTAATCTGTCTGACTGCATACATGATGCTCTAATAACACTGTGTAGTCTTGTTCATTTGGGGTTTCTGCAGACACATCGCTTTAGGTGGCAATCTCCTTAGTGCTCATAACATAAGCAGGGGCTTGCTGTGTCAGAAACTGGTCTGCAGACCTCCACAGACAATTCAGTTGATGCAGGAGGGGAAGTTGGTGAGTCAGGAAGTAGCACTATTGAGTACTGACCCCCAATAACATGGCACAGTGCTAAAATGTAAAATCAAAATGAGCTTGGGCAATGTTTCCATCATTCAGTTTCCCCATCAGTAAAATAGGTATGAGACTTACCTACCTTTGTAAAGTGCATCAACAAATATAGCTGAAAAGTTCTGTGCAAGTGGATAAAGTTGGTATCTCCAGCTGTATAGTGCCCCTACCACTATCCTGGAGCACAGGGTCAGTACTAACAGGGAAGGGGCCTCTTACTGAATGACTTGAGAAAGCCCATTTTGATTTTACAAGACAGTAATAGGTTCAGCTGAGCTGTGGCAAGGAATAGCTTGTCCACATATGCAGTGGTGCTAGAACAATTTTTATAGTAGGGATGCTCTTGGTGGGAACCATGTATTTGGGTTGTTATTACTACTTCAAGCCAGTGGGTGAGGCAGCACGCCCAGCACCTGTACTTCCAGCACCTATGCAAAGAAGGGAATAGTGGTGAGTGTCATACTCATGTAACCCTTCTGCCAGGTGGAGCCAGCAGCAACAAGGGCTGGGTTCAGTATCTAGGGGTTCCTTTTCAACAATACAACATAAAACCGGCTTGAGCCCCCACCCAGTGACCTGGGACAATTACACCACCACCCCCTGGACACCTCTAAGAGGCAATTCTTCCCCTCTTGCAAACACAGAGTCTGAGTGTAGCAAAAACTTTTAATAAAAGGCGGTAAGTAACTCAGCATTAATTTGGGAAAACACCGCAACTAGGATTCATAAACACAAACCATGAGCAAAAGACCCACCCCCAAGTAAGTTGGGCAGTGTCCTTTTCCCCTCAGGATCTTAAGTCCAGAAGCCCAAAAGTCCCTTTAACGTGCCCATCCCCTCTCTGTACCCCACTCACAGTTGCTGTCCTTGGCCAGTGCAGCCCCAGAGTTCAGAGGTTCATCCGCAGAGTTCACCTCCCACCCTGTGTGGAGCGGGGGGGCCGTAGGGAAGCACCTTACACACTCAACTGCTCGGGCACTCGCTCGTCACCCCAACAGCTGATTGCCGCACCTCTGCAGGGCACTGCTCTGGTCCTCATCACCCGCCACCCTGCTGGCCACTTATAGACTCATAGACTTTAAGGTCAGAAGGGACCATTATGATCTTCTAGTCTGACCTCCTGCACAACGCAGGCCACAGAATCTCACCCACCCATTCCTGTAACAAACCCCTGACCTATGTCTGAGATACTGAAGTTCTCAACTTGTGGTTTAAAGACTTCAAGGTGCAGAGAATCCTCCAGCAAGTGACCTGTGCCCCACGCTGCAGAGGAAGGCGAAAAACCCCCAGGGCCTCTGCCAATCTGTACCTGGAGGAAAATTCTTTCCCGATCCCAAATATGGCGATCAGCTAAACCCTGAGCCTGTGGGAAAGACTGACCAGCCAGACACCCAGGAAAGAATTCTCTGTAGTAACTCAGATCCCACCCCATCTAACATCCCATCACAGACCATTGGGCATATTTACCGCTAATAGTCTAAGATCAATTAATTGCCAGAATTAGGCTATCCCATCATACCATCCCTTCCATAAACTTATCAAGCTTAGTCTTGAAGCCAGATATGTCTTTTGCCTCCACTGTTCCCCTTGGAAGGCTATTCCAGAACTTCACTCCTCAGATGGTTCGAAACCTTCGTCTAATTTCAAGTCCAAACTTCCTGATGGCCAGTTTATATCCATTTGTTCTTGTGTCCATATTGGTACTGAGCTTAAATAATTCCTCTCCCTCCCTGATATTTATCCCTCTGATATATTTATAGAGAGCAATCATATCTCCCCTCAGCCTTCTTTTGGTTAGGCTAAACAAGCCAAGCTCTTTGAGTCTCCTTTCATAAGACAGTTTTTCCATTCCTCGGATCATCCTAGTAGCCCTTCTCTGTACCTGTTCCAGTTTGAATTCATCCTTCTTAAACATGGGAGACCAGAACTGCACACAGTATTCCAGATGAGGTCTCACCAGTGCCTTGTATAACGGTACTAACACTTCCTTATCTCTACTGAAAATACCTCGCCTGATGCATCCCAAGACCGCATTAGCTTTTTTCACAGCCATATCACATTGTCATAGTCATCCTGTGATCAACGAATACTCCGAGGTCCTTCTCCTCCTCTGTTGCTTCCAAGTAATGAGTCCCCAGCTTATAACAAAAATTCTTGTTATTAATCCCTAAATGCATGACCTTACACTTTTCACTATTAAATTTCATCCTATTACAATTACTCCAGTTTACAAGGTCATCCAGATCTTCCTGTAGGATATCCCGATCCCTCTCTGTATTGGCAATACCTCCCAGCTTCGTGTCATCCGCAAACTTTATTAGCACATTCCCACTTTTTGTGCCAAGGTCAGTAATAAAAAGATTAAATAAGATTGGTCCCAAAACTGATCCCTGAGGAACTCCACTAGTAACTTCCTTCCAGCCTGACAGTTCTCCTTTCAGTATGACCCGTTGTAGTCTCCCCTTTAACCAGTTCTTTATCCACCTTTCAATTTTCATATTGATCCCCATCTTTTCCAATTTAGCTAATAATTCCCCATGTGGAACCGTATCAAATGCCTTACTGAAACTGAGGTAAATTAAATTAATGGAGATATCCTATCTCCTAGAACTGGAAGGGACCTTGAAAGGTTGTTGAGTCCAGCCCCCTGCCTTCTCTAGCAGGACCAAGTACTGATTTTTGCCCCAGATCCCTAAGTGGCCCCCTCAAAGATTGAACTCACAACTCTGGGTTTAGCAGGCCAATGCTCAAACCACTGAGCTATCCCTCCCCCCACCACTATGTTTCCTTTGTCTAAAAAATCTGTTACCTTCTCAAAGAAGGAGCTCAGGTTGGTTTGGCACGATCTACCTTTTGTAAAACCATGTTGTATTTTGTCCCAATTACCATTGACCTCAATGTCCTTAACTATTTTCTCCTTAAAAAATTTTTCCAAGACCTTGCATACTACAGATGTCAAACTAACAGGCCTGTAGTTACCTGGATCACTTTTTTTCCCTTTCTTAAAAATAGGAACTATGTTAGCAATTCTCCAGTCATACGGTACAACACCCAAGTTTACAGATTCATTAAAAATTCTTGCTAATGGGCTTGCAATTTCAT